TTTGGGGGAGACCTCTCCCCCCCCCCCCCCCCCCGGCCCTCGTCCCGCCTCTTCTAAAGTTTCCCGAGAACTTTTGTTTTGGGCCAGCCTCCGGGCCGGAGTGAAGTGTCGTGGCGGCGGCTGAGCGCCCCAGGAGTTGCCTGCCTGCCAGGCAGTGTCAGGAGAAATTACCGCTCCGGGCTGGGGTCTCGGCCCGTTGGCAAAGGGGCGATCCCGGGGTCGTCGAGTGCCCAGACAGGACTGTTGCCAAACCTTTTCCGCCATGGGAGAGCTTGTCTGGCTGTCGCTGCTGCTGTTGCTGCTGGTGCTGCATGAATCGGTCTCCTCTGGACAAGGTAAAACGCACTTTCTAAAGCTTTTGCTGCCGAAGGGCCAGATCGGGCGAGACCGTGCAATCCCTTTTGGGGCAGAGATTGTGAGACTGAGTGCCGGAGGGGTGTAGGGGATGCGCGCCTACCAGTCTGCTGCAAATTTACGAACTCTTCTGGCCATATCAATGGGAGGCGAGCGGGTCGTTCCCTCCTGCAACAGGGGGTCCTCCTGAACGCTGCTGGGGGAGGGGGGCTTTTCACGAAGGGACTTTGCACGAGTGGGAGTTTATTTCTCCTGCTTCATCTGAACCAGGAAGCTCGCAGGGGGTTGCTGACTCCACCACTTTTCTGTGTGGCAACACGGCTGTGTGGGGGCGCCTGGAAACGGATAGCAGCAAGAGCGTCTCTCAGAGAGTCCAGAACCTGCTTCCTACCAATAGGGGAACAAGGGACTGGATCAGTGACCTCAACTTCCAGATCAGGATTTTAAAATCACATTATATAGTAAAGTAAGAGTTGTCTCTGTCGCCGCCGCCGCCATCACCCCGTTGTCAGTACTTAAGGTGCCGTATTCACTGGAAACCGGCCAGCCCTCCGCTTCCCTGAAAAAGGGAGGGCAGCACATTGAGATTAACAAAGCTTGCTTGGTTGGCGCCTCTGTTCCTTCCTATCGGCCTTGGCTGGTACTCTCCCCTCAGTCCTCCCTATGTTTGCTCAGGCTGGGGCTTAGGTCTGTATCCGAGACGCCCAGGTTGGGTGCTGTGGGCAAGAGATAAATGTGTAGAGTAAGTAGTACCTTTAAATCTGTCATCACACAGTATCCTTCTAGCCAATGTAGGGTGTCCAGAAGAAGAAGAGTTTTTGTGTGTGTGTGTTTTGTGTTCTGCTTTTCTTTACCCCATGGACTCTCAAAGCAGCTTACAACTGCCTTGCCTTCCTCTCTCCACAACAGGCACTTTGTGAGCTTAGGTGGGGCTGAGAGAGCACTGTGAGAACTGTGACTAGCCCAGGGTCACCCAGCAGGCTTCACGTGGACGAGTGGGGAATCAAATCAAATCTGGTTATCCAGATTAGAGTTTGCTGCTCTTGACCACTACATCACACTGTCCTGGTGGGGTACACTGTTGGGTTTAGCTGTAAGAAAGAGATCTTTGACGTGGTCTCTGTGCTTCACACCCATGGGATCTAGTGCGCACGTGCTGGATTGATCGGTGCTGTAGCAAGCTCTTTTAACGGATTTTCGCGCCCAGTCCCCCAGGCATGTGCAGGAACCCTACCGCACATGCCCAGAGGGGTGGGCATGGACATCCCGCCAGTTGCTTTCTTACCACCGCATTGAGTAGACCCTCTTTTTTGTCGGTCAGATCGGTTCGCTTTTGGCTATTCGCCTCACAGCTCTTAGGAGTTATTTTCTTATCTTGATTTTCCTCTCTTCACTTTTTATTTGTTTGTTCTGGAGATGCTGGCAATTGAACCTGGGATCTTCTGCATACCAAGCAGATGCTCTACCATTGAGCCACCAGCCCTCCCTCAAATTCTACCCTTTCCCATTTTTATCCTCACAACAACCCTGTGAATGTCATCTGGGGAGGGGGGAGAGAGGGAGAGAGAGAGAAGCTGGCTCAAAGGTCACCCAGCCACCTTTCATGACAGAATGGGAATTTGAACCTGTGTCTCCAACATCCTAGTCCAGTGCTCTAACTACTACACTGTGCTAAATTGACATGTACATGTAAACCATTTTAAATGTACACATACAAATGAAATATACATATAAACAAGCCTGTATTTAACAAGATATGTATGTTACAGGTATATATGCCAGGCAACCAATATACCAGGCCCTGCCACATCTCTGTATAACAGAAATGCATGTTGGCCACCTACCAATACATGCATTTTGAGATTAGTGGCAACTGGAGAGAAAGCAAACCTTGTTAAAGGGCTAACTGTAACATCATAAAATCTGGCGACAGATGACAACTATCCCTGGAGGGTAAAAGAAATTTATTCCATGGGAATATATTCTGCTATACCATTTTGTGGCTTCTAGAATGGAATGCCTGGCCAAATCTGAAAAAGGCACCTCTTCACTTCTCGGATGCTTTCTAGATAACGTAAGAGCTGTCCTCGAAAAAGAGCAATTTCTATCAAGAGCTCTCTCAGCCCCACCTCCCTCACAGGGTGACTGTTGTGGGGAGGGGAAGGGAAAGGAGTTTGTAAGCCGCTCTGAGACACCTTTGGGTAGTGAAGGGTGGGGTATAAATCCAATCTCTTCTTCCTTTTCTTCTTTTTTGGGGTATCTGTGTTTCTTTGCTAACATTGCACAAGTGTTGGCCTGATTCAGAGCTGACTGTGCAATGTGTACTCCCCACAATGTGAAAGAACTGAAGAAGGATTTGTCTGGTTTTTAAAGCAAAATTAACTGTATGGCTATACCCTGGAGAAGAGAAGGCAAACTGTATCAATTTCACTTTTTGGAAGAGGCACTAGATGTGCAGTTGACATGCGTTTCCCTTTTGGTTCGTAGTCCTTGCTAATTTAATCTCACTTGCCTTGAAACTCTAGGCAGAGTCCTTAGAGCTTCAACTCCAGAAGCTCCATAGTAGAGGAAGGGCATGGTAGAGGGATGTTCTGGTAATGAAGACAAGAGCATTATGACAGAAAGGATTGTGCTAGTTTTATGGTAGTTCTCCAAACTGGCACTTAAAACCAAAAGGATACATTTGGGGGAATAGAATGATTTGGGAGAGACACCTGTTGTATGAAACTTTGGAACATCCTCCCCAGGGAGAGTCGTGTGGTTCTCAGTATTGGTGTCTTCTGCCCTTCTGCTGGTGGGTGAAGAGTTTTTTGTTTCATTTGGCATACCCCTCGTCAGTTTAGTGGGCCTCCTCCTTGTTTCTGGTGTTTTTGTTTGTTTATGTGTTTTTATTGAATTATTTTATACTTTTAAATGTTGTTTTAATTGTTTTTAATTGTTCAACTGTTTTAATGTTTGCTGCTTTGGGGGCCCTGATCCGATGGTAAAGGCAGCATGAAATGCTTTAAATAAATAAATAAAATAGATTTTCAGGAGAACATTCAGCCAGTGAGTGGTGTCAATACCAGAGAAAAAGGATAATCTGGAAACATCCCACGCAGCATCTGCTTGTCACTTAGGTGGACAGATCAGAGCGCAGAGTTCATGGAGAACATTTATTTTATTTAATCATGGAGGGGAAAACTTAAAGATTTTTGATTGGAAGGTTGTGAAATGTTTATGATGTAAATAATTTGATGCAATGGCAGCGTTGGATCCAGACTAAATCTTTCACCAGTGGAACAGAATATTTCTGCCTCCCACTTCCCACTGCAGTTCACTGATCAGCACAAAGTACTGCTCCTGGAGGACAGAGGACCCCGAGGAATCGTTTGAGGGGGGTCTGCAGAGGGAAGGGGAAATTGGTGAAAATCACTTATTTCGTCTGGATCCAGCCTGAATGCCTTACAAACATGCAGCTGCTCATTAATATGAACATTCTTGCCAAATACAATGGGATAAAGGTCTTGCCCTTATAATCCTGTAGGATTCAAAGAGGCATGTGTTTGGATTTGCAAAGTTATTCTTATAAAGTAGTGGGGAAACCTCTGATCTTTAACGGTTTGTTTTTATAAGACTATAATAGCAAGTGAGCATGATGATACTTGAAAAAGTTTTAATTCTGTATGTATGTTGTTGTTACATCCCTGACTTTGAGAAACTGGGAAATCTGCCTTGGTTGGGAAGCAAACACTGCAGCCATACACCAGAGAAGCTCCTTTTATATGTTCACTTGAAAGAAGCCTCTGATCCTGTTGAATGAGGGAAAGGGTGGTTCAACGGAAAGTCTCTTGCCACCTCAGGTAAAGGTCAGAAAGGCTCACCCTTTAATGGGTAAACAGAAGTGTGGAAGGAGAGATTGTGTACAGGCACGTGAGTATAGTCTTGTTACAGACCAAAATTGAAATCACATAAGATCAATCATTCATTAAAATTAAATGAAAATATTTTATAGAGTATGAGCCACACATATGTGAGCGCATCTGAATTCTGTTGCTTTCAATAGAAACTTAACTCATCGTTAAATCTTTCCATTTAAATCAGTGGAACATGATAGTTTTTAACTTTGGGAAGATCATGCCCTGATGTTCCCAGGAAGAGCTAAGATACATGAAAAAATGGGGTATTTTACTGTTAAAGGCCCCCCCCCATTCAGCCTGGGGTTGTGAGTAGAAGTACAGTTTAGTCCTTTCCTATAAGCTATTTTCTCAACTTCAAACAATGCCCCAGAACTTCTGTTTACTCAGTGAGGGGTGTGTGTGAACATACTAGTTACTGCCTGTATGCAAGTAGCAAATTGCAGGTGGGGAAGGGGCTGTCTTAGATCAGGAAAATGGTGGAACCCCTCCATGTCATGTCCCAGATCTGACACACACACCCCGGCTACTATTTAACATTTTTTAAAAAATGCTTTGAGATTCATTCATGGATTTCCTTGTGCCTCTTCTAGTTTGGCCCCAGAACTTTCATAAAATATGAGATATGTTATGCGGACTTAATGAGTTTAAGCCATGTTAGATGCAATACAGTTATCAGGTTGCACTGAAAACACAGGGACAAAGGCAGGGCAATTCTCCCTTTGAAAATATTAAAAAAAAACGGGAGCCACTGCAACGCAGAACATGTTGGCTTCTTGGAAGGCAGAGAGCAGAAGTAAAGAAGCTACACTTCATTGAACACAATTAGAATCTGCTGACAAAGAAATTTTGCCAGCATGCCCAGCTCTTTCTTTCTCCTTTGCCCCATTTTGGTTATATTTTAACTTTTAGCCTGTTGAAGAGCTCTGGGGAACTTGAAAGCTTGCAACATTTAACTTGGTCCTAATAAAAGGTATTGCTCTGATCTGGATGGCCCAGGCTACCTGGATTTCATCAGACTTAGAAAATAAGCAGGGTTGGCCCTGGTTAGTATTTGGATAGGAGACCAGGCCACAGCAAACCAC